CGATCTTACTCCGCCTCTCCTCAGTGGCAGACGCAGGCTGCTTCCACTCTGAGGCTACTTCCCTGTGGACACTGCTGCAATGAACACTGCATCTGGGTTCTGTGTGGACATGCTTTTATTCCTCTAACAGTGCAATTGCTGGGTCACACAGTATCTCTGCATGGTAGCTTGAGAAACTGCCCAACTATTCTTGTTCTTTTTTTTTTTTTTAAGAGAGATTTTTGCTACAGGGTGTGTGTGTTCGCCAGAGAGACGGAAAGCGAGAAACCACCCCCTGTGAGGATGGCCATGATGCAATCCCTTCTCTGTTCTTCTCAGGATTTTGGGCAGGCACACACATCTGGTTTGAGTTTTAAGCCACCGGGTCCAGGACTCGAACTGTGGGAGTTCAGTGATAATGCCATCTGCTGGTCCCCTGCCAAACTATCTTCCAAAGCAGCTGTGTCAATCACATTCCCACCAGCAATGCAGGAGGGTTCCGATTTCTCTATGTTCTCAATGCTTGTTATCATCTTATCTTTTTTTTTTCTTTTTTTGAGAGATTTTCACTGTAGGGTGCGTGCGCTCGCCAGACAGAGAGGGACATAGAGACAGAAAGCGAGAAATCACCCCCAAGAGGGGACGGTCATGCCGCAATCCCTTCTCCTCCCTTCTCTCGGGATCTTGGGCACGCACGCACAGGCACCCGGCGTGAGTTCTAAGCCACCAGGTCCGGGATGCGAACCGCGGTTGACTACGTGGGAATCCAGCAACATAGCCATTACACTAACTGCTGGTTCCCATATCATCTTATTTTTTTAATTAGAGCCAACGTAGTGGTTGCGAAGTGGTGTCTTGGTTTTGAAAGACATTTCCCTAATAAAGCTGAGGATCTTTTCATGTGCTGGTGGGCCATCTGCATACCTTTTCTGAAGAAATAAGCTATGGGTTTTTTATCCTTTTTCTTTAGAATTATTTTATTTAACCTTATTTATTATTATTATTATTATTATTATTGTTACTATTACTATTTTCCAGTTTGATCAGAGAGACATAGAGAGAGAGGGAAAGTGAGAAAGTGAGCCACAAGGTCTGGGACCCAAACCGTGGTCATCCATGTGGGAGTCCAGTGCTCTTAACCACCACGCCACCTGCCGGCTTCCTTCATCCATTTGTATGTAAACTGGGCTATTTATCTTTTTATTTCATTCTAAGAATTCTAATCCTTTATCAGATATATGACCTGTAAATATTTTCTCTCATTTTGCTAGCTGCCTCTTCATTTTTTTAATAGTATTGCTTGAAGCACAAAACTTTTACATTTTTATACAGTTTCATTTATCTATTTTTCTTTTGTGGCTTATTGCCTAGGAAACTACTTCCTATACCAAAGTCACTCTTCTCAGTATTCTGTAGTTTTAGCTCTTGCATTTAACTCTCACATGCATAATCCATTTTGAGTGAATTTTGCATAGGGTTTGAGTTAGGGGTCCAACTTCATTCCTTACAAGTGGACAAAATTATCTTTTTTTTTTTTGGAGGAGTTTTTGCTATAGCTCGCCAGACAGACAGAGACAGAGAGAGAGAAAGCGAGAAATCACCCCCCAGAGGGGATAGCCACACCGCAATCTCTTCTCCTCCATTCTCCTCTCGGGACCTTGGGCACGCACGCACATGTGCCGACGTGAGTTTGTGCCGACATGAGTTTAAGCCACCGGGTCTGGACGCGAACCACGGTCAACTACATGGGAGTCCAGCAACGTAGCCATTATGCCAACTGCTGGTCCTGATAATTAAATTTAACAAAAATTACTAAGGCAGTATTTCTGGGAGTCTAATGTACCATTCAAAATGCATTCTCAAAAACATCAGCATGACCACAGAAAGACACCACAGCGCACTAATACGCGAAAGAGATGAGACAGGGTAAATCGCTGAATGACCTGGTGATGCAAACCTGAACCACTGTTTCTTCTCTACACATTCTGGCACACGAAGTGGATCAGGAAGGACCAAGATCCCAACCATTCATCCATTTACCAGATATTTCCTGGATACAGCAGAATGAACACAAGAAAAAAATCCCTGCCCTCCACCGCCCAGGGTGGAACACCAAAGACAAAAAGAACATAACAATCCCTGCCCTCCACCGCCCAGGGTGGAACAAACACCAAAGACAAAAAGAACATAACACAACGTGTCAGACTGTGAAAAGTGCTATGGAGGAAGCAAAAGTCAAGAAAGACGAAAGAGAGCGGTGGAGGGAATGGGAGTCAGGGAAGGCCTCAATGTTGAGCCAGGACTGAGGCCCCCAGGGAGTGAGAGGGCAAGCCAGCAGGGCTCTGGGGGAAAAGTCCCCCAAGTGTGAGCCAGGAATACCACCACACTCTTGGTGAACAGTGAGCATAGGCTCAAGGATCAGCCTGGGTTCAAATCCTAGCTTGGCACTTATAAAACGACATGACCCAGAGCAAGTCACTAAACTTCTCTGGACTCCAGTATACTCAAATGTAAAATGGAATTAATAATAATAACTAGTTTATAAGTTTCAGAGATTAAATGAGTTAAGACATGTCAAACACTTCAAACAGGGGCTAGCACTGGCATGGTGGATAAGGTGTTAGACTCCCTAACTCCTTAATTTCAAATCCCGGACCTGGCGGCTCAAAAATCACACTGGATATATGTGCGTGCATGCCCAAAACCCCAGGAGGAGAATGAAGGAGAAGGGATGGCGGCGTG